GAAAATTACCAAAACATTAGAAGGTTATGCTTTGTCACAATCTCATTACATTGAGAAAATACTTGACAAATTCAGCAAAGATGATGATCATCTTGCTAGAACTCCTGTAGATGTTAATTTGTATCTTTCTAAGAATGTACAGGAAAGTATTTCTCAATTAGAGTATGCCCAAATTATTGGAAGCTTAATGTACTTGATGAACTGCACTCGCCCAGATATAGCTTATGCAGTAAGTAAATTAAGTAGATAGCTGTGACAGCTGGTGAGCACAGCTTTCATTCTCCATACACGTGTATGGAGGGATTGAATCAAGACTCAAGCTTGTTCAACAAGCTTGAGTCTTGAAACAAATCCCTTCATACAGGTGTATGGAGGATGGGAATTGTGCCCACTAGTTGTCACAGCTGGCAGAAAATATCTGCAAAAATCAGGTGGAAAGGTCTCGGCTCAAAAATATAGTCAATCGACCAAAAATAGTGTCGATCGACCAAAAGGAGTGCCGATCGGCCAACACTCTTGGCCGATGGCAAGGAAACAAGGCCGATGGCATCATGCCTTAGCCGATGGGTTGTGGGGAAGGCCAACAAGCCACCATCTTCCCTTAGAAGCAAAACCACAAGTCCTCGGTCCACAACCAAGCACAAAACAAACAAGTTGAGAGGTCCTAAGGCAAGGCGCGCAGCCGAGACCTTCGGGAACTCAAAACGAACACGAGCATGAATGATCACCGAGTGTTCAAACGATGACGTCCAAGTCTTGAGGACGGTCAAAAATGGGGTGTCTACAAGGAGTAGAACACTAGAAAGCAATTATAAGGGTTCTAAGATATCTCCGATTTACTCGTAACGTTGGGTTAAATTATACTAGATATCCAGCAGTACTTGAAGGATACTATGATGCAAATTGGATATCGGATACTAGAGACTCGAAGTCCACTAGTGGGTATGTCTTTACTATTGGTGGGGCGACTGTATCTTGGAAATCTTCTAAACAGACTTGCATTGCTAGGTCTACTATGGAATCAGAATACATAACTTTAGACAAAGTAGGGGAAGAGGCAGAATGGCTTCGCCACTTCCTTGAAGATATTCCGATTTGGCCAAAACTGGTGTCTTTTATATGCATACATTGTGATAGTCAATCAGCAATTGGTAGAGCACAGAGTCATATGTATAACGGTAAGTCACGACACATTCGTCGTCGACATAACACCGTACGACAACTACTCTCTAATGGAATTATTTCCATAGAATATGTTAAGTCTAAAGACAACATAGCTCCACTAACCAAAGGTTAGCAAGAGAGTTAGTTGAGAATTCATCGAGGGAATGGGCTAAGCCTATTAAATAAGATTATCACAAGCGCAACCCAACCTAGTTGACTGGAGACCCAAGATCTAGGTTCAAAGGACAACCGAGTTGTGATTGACTCAGAAGGATCACTGGGGAGTCAAACTCCTACCCATTTTCTTGATGAAATAGTGATGACTGCAGCGTTTGCGGTTAAGTAAAATTATATCTAGGTAAACCTAGTGGAGTATGGCAGGATACTCTTCATAAGCATCACCTATGTGAGTGTGAACTGGGCCGCTTCTGTGAGATTTGTGAAAGGCTACAATTCTCTAAAGCACTCATGAAAACCAGGTTGTTCAGGGCCAAAATGAACACAATAGTGAAAACTAAACTGTGTTTGGGAATATACCGTGTGAGTTCTATTGTCTTGGTTTATACAAACGGATGAACAGTTCAAGACATCATGTTCACTGGTTAGCTAGTAAATCCGATAGTGTCTCACAAGGGAAGGTTCAAAGCCAAAAGCTACCTATCCTTTGCAGAATATTTCCAATTTCTATACTCTCTGTAATTAGATCATGTTGTTGGATTTTCTCTCCGTCAAATTCCTTTCATGTGGGGGATTGTTGAAAAATTTGGTTTAAAGGCTTATTTTGGGCCAACTTTGAGCCCAAAATTAAGTAGGCCCCGAACGTCTTTTGGGGTGGGTCCGAAAAGGTGATGTGTTCCTTGCCGTGTGGCAAGTCACGCAGTGAAGACAGTTCGTCAAAACCATTTATGAGTGAATGAGAACTTGACATCATTTTCGGGTTCGTGGAATAAACATTTAAAATTTTTAATTTTTTAGATAAAATTCATTTGAATTTTTTCAATAAAAATTATTGTGGGAATTTAATTTAATTCTAAATTCTAATTTTGGGTTCCTAAGTGGTTTTCTAAAGTTTGTACCTCTTCCTTTATTTATTAAACTATTCAAATAGTTAGTTTAATATATATATATATATATATATTTCAATTGTTTAAATAAATAAAGTTGCTACAGGTTTGACTTGGTCCACTACAGTTTACTTTTCAAATTGTTTGGAGGGAAATCAATTCCATGTGCAACGGTCAAACTAACTTTGAAAAGTTAGTTTTCCTGTTCAAACATATTGATGCACCTTTTCACTTCAAAATTGGAACCTGTTCGAGTCTTAAGGTTTGTACCTATATATACCCATCAATTCCAGCAGTCTTGGGACCCAATTTCTGATTTGGAAAAAACAGTCTGTTAAGTTTCTTTGTGCTGTCCAATTTTTCTATTTGCATTATTTCTTCATATTAGTTTTAGAGATAATTTTAAGAGAGTATAGAACACAAGGTTTGGTTCACCGTACAATTTTGTTTGGTGTACTACAACAATTTTGTGAAGATCAATGTATCTTGGGAAATAGACGTCACTCAACCGTAAGCACCGTAGCAGGGCGAATCTGTCTTAAGGACAGAGTGTCACACACTCGACTTAGTCTTAATTTTAATTCGGTTTGATAAATAAATCCGGTATGTTATTTATTTATTTTGCTTGAATTTATTTCTAGTTATTTTATTTACACAGAAGATTGTTCCAACAATATTATCAACTTCTTGGAATTATGTCAAAGGACACTTTACGTAAGTCCTAAAATTAGTCAAGATATTTATAAACTATCAACTTCTTCAGATTACGTCAAGGTTCAATTCCCACCAAGTATTATCAACTTCTTGAAATTACGTCAAAGGACACTTTACGTAAGTCCTAAAATTAGTCAAGATATTTATAAACCATCAACTTCTTTAGATTACGTCAAATGACACTATACACAAATCCTTGAATTAGTTGAGATGTTTGCAAACTATTTTAGATATCTAATCATAAAAATAATAAATAAACAATTAAAAAATGCGGGAGCAAGAGCAAGAGCAAGAGCAAGTGTAGGTGACGAAACATGTTTCCCCTTGAAAATGCAAGCGCGGATTGAGACACGGAGAAATTGTCATTTCAAAGTATAATTTTGTTTGCTGAAAGGCCGGTAGATAAGGTGTTTCACATCATGTTAGCAGATATTTTGATTCATTTAAACCATCAAATCGAATCGAATTGATCTATCACATTTTAAATAGTTACGAATTCATTTTTTTTTTATAACTTGTCTAGTTTTGGACAGATGACGGATTTGAAATTCTTTTAACAGCAATTGAACCGTCAAACCGTGAGCACCTCTAGTAATTTATAAAACTTTGTGTTTTTAATTTGTTTAGATATTCTATTTGTGTTTTTAATTGAAAAATAGTTCAGACATTCTATTTTGTTTTCAATTTGGAAATCCTTTTATCAAATGGCAAGTGTTGATATTTACTATTTTTGTGTGAAAAATATAAGGTTTAATTTTGTCATTTTAAAAAAAAAATCAAATTAAATAGTTTTTGAATAAAAAAAAGTAATGAAATAGTTTTGATAATGCATGTTTTCTTATATATATATATATATATATTTATTATTGATATTTGACAATTTTTTTGATAATCTTTTGGTTATGTTGAGTTAGATTGTTATCCAAAAAAAATGTTGACAGTTGTTGTATTATTTCAAATTTGTAAAAGTTTATACAGTCAAATCGATTTGCATTCATCTGCCAATCTAGCAGACGAATGCGGATTGATTTTTTCAATTCGCCAATCCAGCACACAGATGACGGATTGAATGTTTCTCAGCTGCAACCGAACCGCGAGCACGGGTACCCTACATGAAATGGGTTCCAAAAAGAATTTAAAAGAAGAAAATATTTCTTCACCAAGTGAAGTTGTATGAACTTCTTCTGTTCGACTACAAAATATGAGAAAGTTTGGTTATGTTTTAAATTTGGATCATATTGTTTAAATTCAACTAAAAAAAGCTAAGTTCGTTTGTTTTGATATAAAATATTTTTTTGTCAAAAATATTTTACCTATTTTCGGAAGTAATTTTTTTTTTGATTTATTGACTTATTATAAAAAAAAATTCAAAAAATATAAAGGTAATATAATCTAAATAAGTTAATAAGTTAATAAATTAATTTTTTTTTTACCTTCTCAAAGAAAGCCTAAATCAATTTAATTTTTTAATAAATGATTTACACATAAAAATACATAAAAACTTATAAAATTGCTGGATGGTCTAATCTACCTTAGTGGACTATAGACAAGTAGCTTCTATAAACATAGTAGAATTGAAAAGCTACGTATACAGAGATGTGCATAAAAATAAATAAATTAATTAATTTATTGTTCAAATTCATTTTAAGTATAATCTCTATTATAATGAAATAAATTTCTACATAATATTGATTTTTTGTGTCTCATGAATATAAAAATAGAAATTTTGTACAGAAATATCGTACAAGATGTGACTTTTTATAATTCTTTTATTTCAAACAAAATATTCATTATTGTAATTTATAATGACAAAAATATAGCATTACATTATTTTTATAAAGATTTATATATTAAAATTATGTTTTTGCTTACAATGATTGAGATGCAAAGATTAATTTTATAGTCACATATGATTCTTACACGTGTACGGTTGGATCAATACCACTTTTTCTTCACCTGCTCTATAATTAAATACGTCAAGGACCCTACCCACTAAAACTCATCCATGAGCTTTGTGTGTTTGGGTGAATTCAATCTCCACTGAAACCATTTTCCATAGCTTTCTCTTTTTCATATCTTGAGGTAGGAATGTCTTGCTGAGGAGAAAAGTGTGGCTGCAACTGTGGTACCGGCTGCGGCGGGTATGTCCAACTTCACTACAATTTTATTTTATTTTATTTTATTTCCAATTTTTTTTTGTGTTTTCAAAAACAAACAACAATGGAAACTTAAAAAAAACCTTTTATTGTTTTCATACTGTGTGGGTGATTTTTTGACCACACTGCAATCTTAGTATCCAGCTGGAGGGTACCGGCAGAATAGATGGCACCTGACTAACCTGCAACAGAAAGAGAAAACTCCGACGGTGGTTCGTCCACCCGGGGCACTCTAACGATCAAGTCAGTATATCTCTCAAAGATAAATCAAGTGCTAAACTCACAAGCTTGAGTATCAAAAGCATGAAATTGCGTAGCTTAGACCCATGGGAGTGCCTCTCTTTTATAGTTACCTCAATCTTAATCCCAATAGAAGTCTGATTTCTATGGATTCCTGTTTAATACTTACTTTGGACTCCTTTAGAGATAGAGATAAACTCTCTAAGAGCTTTATCCTTATCTTGGCTAAGTCTCTTCTTTATTCTAGGACTCTTGTCCCTTATCTCTTATCTGCTTATGTCGGATTCCGATATCTTCGGAGATAACCACGGCTTGACCGAGATCACCTCGGCACTATGATCCTAACATGTGGCACCTCGGTTGACACGTCGGCGTCACCTTACCACGTATCGGTGCTCAAAAATATATCCCCACAACTGGCCCCTAGGTTCTATTACCTCGGCATCTTGAGGTGATGGAACCTATATCATTCCGTTTTCTAGTACGTCGATTTTCAATATCTCAGCCGAAGTCATTATTTTGGCCGACATGCCTTTGCTGAAGAATAAGAACTTCAAGAACCCTTTCACGCATATGAGCTGTCATACACCATAATTCAACCATTTTTAGCCACGCATTTCTTTCTTACTGGTTCGTACCTGTGACGTACCCGTAAGCCGTCTCTCCCTCTCACGTGCGCCGTCTGACGCATACGTTCTTCCAAGCGTATTGATTACTTTTTGCCGCCGTTTTCATTTTTAACAAAACACCTCTTCGATTTTTCCCTTTCACTTTATTCTTGTTTCTGGAAAACTTTTTCTCTCTCTAACTTTCTCTTCTCGAGTCCGCCATTGTTCAAGCTTTCTTGCTCTGAAACTTATTCCGCTCACCACTTCCAGCGTGTTTTGCACCATTTCGTTGCCTCCACGACCATCGTCTGACTTCGGCAATCTTTACACCGGCTTCATATTTTCTGGTAAGCAACTGTTTTCTTCTTATTCCAGTTCTTGATCTTTTATTTCTGCCTTGCTCAAACATTTAATTTGTGAATCATACATCTGAATGCGCTGATTTTACTTTTTGCTTATGCCTTGAATACATGTACTGTTCATAGTTTTCTTGCACGTCTTGCCACTGTTCTTGGCCTTCAACCCTTTGTATTCTTCATGTTTTTGATAGTCCATCTCTGTTCTTGATTCTGAAACTTCACCTTTGTTTTCTGTTTTTTGTGTCTTTTCCAGATCTGTGCCTTTGATCTTCATCTCCATAGTTTTAGGTTTGGGATTTGTCTGTAGAATCCACATTTTAGGAAAAACTGAAACATCCCTTACAAATTTTTGCACCAGTTCAAACCTAGGTTTTTTACCGAGGTCCCAATAACCCTTTTCGAAACATCTTCTTTCTGAAATCCAATACCTTTAGTTATCCCGATATCATGGGTATGTGGAAACATCGGGTAGACACCCCTTCTAAGCTAGACATTTTTAGGCAAGAGTTTGAAATCCCAGCCGATGTCAATCTGAGGTTGGCTGGGGATGATGACTTCATCATGCCTACTGATCACTCCATGCCCTTCCCTGTAGTTGCCTTTATTGAGTGTGGACTTCGATTTCCACTTGACCCTTTTTTCGGTCAAATCCTTCACTTCTATAAGTTGAACCCAATGCAACTCGCCATCAATTCTTACCGAGTTATTATTGGTATCATAGCCTTAGTTAAACAAGAGAATGCCAGGATTACACTTGCCGACTTCCAATACTGTTATACCATGTGTCGTCTTAGAAAAGACACGGACTATGTCTATTACCTTAAGCCGAGATCCACCGAATATAAAATCGTAGCCGACCTCCCGGACTCCAACAAGGGAGCTGGAGACGATTGCTTCATTGTCTCGGGGCAATTGGGAGTTTCAGCCAAACGACAACCTCCATCTTTATCATTTAAGTAGCGCTGTTTTGGGGGAAGGAGCTGGTAAGGGCCACCCTTCATTAAGTTTCTTTTTAGCTTCTTACATAAAGTTTTCAATATTTTCTATTCTAATGTCTGTGCTGTTTTTATCTTTTGCAGTTCTTCCTCAACCTCCAAAGAATTTTCGCCAATCCTTCTATCCCAGCAAGGATTTGAAAAAACTTCTGAACTTGCCAATTCACAAATGAAAGGCGCCTCTGCTCCTCAACTTTATTCCAACATATAGGTCCGCTTTGCCCGATGTCTCTAGAAGGAAGAAAAAAAGCCTTTCTCCACCATCTGCCACAACGCCACAGACCGCATCCACATCTCGGACAGACCAGGGGTCAACCTCTGATCCAGCCGAGCAACCGTCAACTTCAGCTCCATACTTGGTTCAATATCACAACGCCACCGCCGACGCCGAACAGTCTCTACTGCCGAGATGGGTCGCCCAAAACCAGTTGCAAAAGACCTTCTGGCCAGCATTCCATCATCTGTTGACGATCAACCAGCACAAACCCAACCTCCACCGAAGCCGAAAAGAATAAAGACGGCTCAACCAAAGGCTAAGGTAGCTCAGGTTGAATCTGAAGACACCTTGCCTATCTCAAAGTTGGTTGAGAGTGATAAATCTCAGCCTTCATCTGGGAAGAGGCGCCCTGAAGCCCAACCATCCAAATCGCCAAAATCAAAGAAGCCGAGGTCATCTTCCGCAACGACCTCGGGGTCTAAGAAGCCTGCTGCCCCCTGGGCCCCTAAAATAACCTTGGAAGATAAGCCAGTCATGGCCAATGATAGCGCCGAGGATATCAATGTCAGCGTTGCGCTTAGTACTGCTCTGCTTCTGCCAGGGGATCTGGAGCGGAACGCCGGCTTCAGCGAGTACGAGAACTATGCCTTGATGCTTCAGCGTTCTGTCCAAGTATGTGTCTTTTATCTGGCACTTTTTCTTTTTCATACTTAGAAAATTTTCTAATAACTTTCGCTCTGTTCACTTTCAGGCCATTCAGCATGCTCATTCCTTTTCAATTCAGTCTTTTGAAAATCGGGAGAAGTTGGCCGAGATGAAGAATGAGTTCTCTTCCCTTCAAAAGACCAACAAAGGTCTTCAATCAAAGATGAAAAAATTAGAGGACCAAGCCGAGGCTGCAATCAAAGCTCAGACCAATGCCGAAAAGAAGGCTGAGGCTGCTGAGGCTATCAAGAAAGTGGCTGAGTCTCAGAAGAGAGAAGCCGAGGAAAAAATGGTCTAAGCCGAAAAGGAGCTTCAGGAGGCACTGGCCACCAAAGAAGCCGAAATAAAAGACGCCGACGAGAAGGCGTATGCCCAAGGCATGGCTGACATCACAGATGCCTACGAACAACAGGTGAAGGAGGCATGCAACAAGGGTTTCACCCTTGGTTGGATGTCCCTTCTAAAGAAACTTAATGTCCCAGAGGACTCACCACTGTGGAAAGCTGATGCCATTCCTCTTCCATTCCCTCCAGCTCAACCTCCAAGTCAAGATATCGGTGAATCTGAGTCTGAGGATGGTGATGAGGAAGAGGATGAGGCTTTGGTAAGAAAATCCAAAGATGCTAATGGGGCCAAGTCCCCTCTTCAGAATGAGCAAGTCCTAGACTTAACTCACGATGAAGAAGGCGATGAGGTTAACAAAGACGCTGCTTATGTGAAGGATTCAGCCGATGCCACCCTTGCTGATAAGAACCTTGATGACACTCTTGTAGAAATTGACGCCGAGGTCGCGGCGGGTAAGGCTGCTGAGATGTCTTCTCAACAAACATCTGATCTTCAAATTCAACCAACTGGTGGAGAGGAGTCTTAGCTTCATGTTTTTCTTTTGCTTACTTGTATTTTGTTTCTTCTTTATCTTTTGGAACAATATAAGCCTTTTGTATGGCCGATGTGCCCTTTTCTTGGTGAATGCTAATGCAACTTTTCTTTTTCTAAGTGCTTGCACTCTTGCCTTCTCTTCATTGCTTCTGCATGATTCTATACTTAGAATATTCTGCATGTCTGTCACATACTTTTCCTTCTTTGTATAATCTTCTCGGGGTGACACACCTCGGATAGACAAACGTCTTGGTTTTAATCTTAACTTGTAAACTTTTAACAAGTGTTGAACATCATACTGGTTTAATTCAACTTGTAAATTGTCCACAAATTTCAACAAGTGTTAAACATTGACTTCGGCTTAACTTCAACTTGTAAATTGTCCACAAATTTCAACAAGTGTTAAACAATGACTTCGGCTTAACTTCAACTTGTAAATTGTCCACAAATTTCAACAAGTGTTAAGCAATAATTTTGGTTTAACTTAACTTGTAAATTGTCCACAAATTTCAACAAGTGTTAAACAATGATTTCGGCTTCACTTCAACTTGTAAATTGTTCACAAATTTCAACAAGTGTTGAACAATGATTTCGGCTTAACTTCAACTTATAAATTGTCCACAAATTTCAACAAGTGTTAAGCAATAATTTTGGTTTAACTTAACTTGTAAATTGTCCACAAATTTCAACAAGTGTTAAACAATGATTTCGGCTTAACTTCAACTTGTAAATTGTCCACAAATTTCAACAAGTGTTAAGCAATAATTTCAGTTTAACTTAACTTATAAATTGTCCACAAATTTCAACAAGTGTTAAGCATATTCTTCTTCTCTCTGCCCCCTAATGTGAACCTGAGTTTCACTTGGGTTCTCATTATGCATATATTCTAGAGACAATGTCAAGTTTTTTTGAAAAGAGAACAGAATCTTTATTTATTTACTTCGACGAATAGCAAAGGAACAAAGGAATTTTAATGATAGAA